TTCGACCTCTGCGGTCGTATCAAGCTGCGCCCAGCGAAGCATTTTATTAGTATTAGGTTATCTCGTTCTGAAAGCTGTACAGTTCTGTACCAGTGGTCCTAATTTTTTACTTCTATATTTTTGAAAATCTAAATTCATAAAAATGGGAAGGGAGTACACATCAATATATAGAAACAATTCATCAAAATTTCATGCAAATTAGTTGAATAGTTTTTGAGTTACTGTCTGACAGGTTGATGATTGACAGACAGTCACAGGTTAGGGGAGGGTTGGGATCCCGCTTACATGTTTAACCCTGCCACATTCTGTATAGTGCCTGTCCCAAGTCAGGAGCCTGTAATTCAGTAGTTGTCATTTGTTTATGTGTTACATACATTTGTATTTGTTTTTCGTTCATTTTTTATGCATAAATTAGGCCGTTTGTTTTCTCCTTTGAATTGTTTTACATTGTCATTTCGGGGCCTTTGATAGCTGACTATGCAGTATGGGCTTTGCTCATTGTTGAAGGCCGTACGGTGACCTATAGTTGTTTATTTCTGTGTCATTTGGTCATTTGTGGAGAGTTGTCTCATTGGCAATCCTACCACTATTCTTTTTTATATAGACAACGGTATACCATAATACGTCCTGTAAATGTGCGAATAGAAATGAACATGGGGAATAAACATTGTACCCACTTACCAAATTGCTATTGTGTGAAACTCATCAATTACAACCAACTTAATGTTCAACTTCTTTAAACAAGTTCTCCAATAGGGATCACCAACCAATGTTTCTGGAGATGCAAAAATGACATCTATCAACCCCTCTTTGATTTGATTGTCACTCTGGGAAAGATGATCCTAAAATGCAAAAAAAAATGTAGGTGGGCAGTCTCCAAAAAGACATATTTCTATGATAACTTCTATAATTTAAATGTACACTGTACAAATACCCTTTCTCCATTTCACTGCGTTTGATTAAAGATTGAAATATGCGCGACATATAAACAACGAGGAGCAAGTGCGGAGATTTAATTTTAATTAGATTGGTCTGGTACGATTTATCTGACCTTGAACTAATTGTCATAGATCTTTAAAATGTTAAGTTTCTGTAATGCTTTTAGTAAAACTTTTATCTTTAAGACTTTCAACTTAAAATCAATGGTTAGTAAAGCAGGCGAGACATTTCAGCGTGTGCACTCTTGTATTTATATATCTGCTGTGTTGATTTCATACTTATAGATTTATGTTTGAAATTATGAAGTTTGTTTAGATGTAAAGGCACCATCAGATTCTCATTGCATTGAATTCTTATTGACCCTTATACGATCCAGTCGGCACCGTTAGCCACTAGTCTAATGCCCCAGACAAGTAAAATTTTATTCGGACTAGTAAGAGTTTGCAAAACTTTGTTTAGACACATAAGAAAAAATGTTCGAATATTGGTCTTCTGACTAGAAGTTGTAAAAGATTTTGGTACAGGGGTACTATATCACATATCGGACAGTTCTATGATGAATGTCAGGAAGCCTGTTGATGAGACATAACTGTTTTCCTGCCAAAAGTCAACATTGACAAAAAAGAACATTTATTGTCATCATGTTGTTGAAGGTTTTTCAGGGCCTTAGTATACTGTAAACCAACTTATTTTCGCGAATACTTTATTTCGCGTTCAGCCATTTCTAGCCCATTTCACGGCGATTTATTTTCGCGATTCTCAAATTTCCTTGATGTTGTTAAATAAGGAAAAATCCATATTTTTATATTCGCGTTATTTTTTTACTCCTGAACAGTCAGGGGTAATACTTAAACAAGTGATTTCATTATCACCTATATCAGTGATTTGATAAATTCAGTTATCACCTATTTAAGTGATTTTGGTGTTTCCTTTGATCTTCAAATGCTAATTTCATTGATTTTCCATATTTTGACAAACTTTTCTATAATTTTCCTACATAGAACTAATTATCCCTTTCTTTTGTATATCAATTTCACCAGTACGCTTGGACAGTAAGTTAGTGCGCTAAAGCTTTTAAAAGTTCTATAATTAAATATTCATTAACTACTCTTACTATCAGACAAAGGACAACAATATTAGGTAACCTATAGAGTTATAATGATCTACTTCAAGGTTATGTCCTGATCTACAAATTATTCCAGTTTTTGCATATTTTAAATAAACTGTCAAAACTGACAGGCTTATCAAGCAAAAGACAATTTCTGCATGTACATAGTTGTTTTTTCAATGGAATTCTTGTCTTTATACCAATAAAAAGGCAAGCTTGTGGGGAAAATATCAAGAAAATGTTATAAACACTTGTTGAAGTGATTACATTTTAACTTCTCAAATTACTTGTTCCAGTGATTTTAAAAAGTCTGTGTCTATTTTTGTGAAAATTTTTAATATTTCACAGCCAAAATCACTTGAAGTTATAATTAGTTGGTTAACAGTATACCCTAAAAGACCTTTCAATGATTTATCCCCCTTCGCGAGCATACTATATTGCTCCATCCTAATGAAAACTGACATCGGCACAAACATATCTCAGGGAACGCACATGGAATTTAAACAGGTTCACCAGTGTTCCAAATAGGAATTGAAAAGGACAGGGTGTTTTATTTCAAACTGAAAATATGTCAGGAAATTTCTTAAATGTCCTTGCATTTAATTATTATATATTTATTTACATTTTTATCTAAAAAAAATGTTTAAAGTATACTTTGATATCATTACATTACAAGGGAAGTAATTCTTCATGTACATACACTTTGATATTGTAATTTAAAGCAGGATTCATTGCAATAACTTATTTACCTAGACCTCAGGTAGCAGGCATTAATTAAATATGTTTGACACCCAAGCTGTCAAGTGATGACATTTATATGTTCAAATATATATTTGGTGGAACTAATTTTTCTGACAAACCAGTTTTAAAAAGCTGATAAAAAAGTAAATTTTGTTGTTAGAAGTTAAGTTAATGGTTAGGGATCTATGCACAATGAAATGGACAGGGAACCAAGATCACAACAAATAAGGGCACATGGCATAGATTGTACCGATGACTGCATTTAATTACAAAAATAAAATTGACAAATAGGTCAACTGGCATCAAAATGACAGATAAAATTCAATGCTTTAAACTAAGAGATATGTATTACAAATTTACAACAAGCATGATAAGAAAAAGCCTACAAAACATAACTTTCATATACATGGCCAATTTAGAAGATGTAGACCAAATCCCACATTTAGGAGTTCAGTTCACCAACACCCTCAAATTGGATATACATGTACAATGCACATCATTGTACATTTCAAAACGAACCAATAGCTAAACCTAATAAACCATTGGGCTTTCTGAGGAGAAATGTCAACTAATTCTCACATACTTATAGTTTTAACAGTATGTCAACAAAAAAGAAGTGATAATATTGCTAATAATGACTGTTTGACATTTACATAAGAAACCTGTGAATGTGAACAGGTGAACAGTATACCTTTATGCTAGTTTGTTTGTCAGAGTAATTTGCATTGACTATTTTTTCCATTGGCAATTTCCATTTTCATAATGTCAAACTTCCATTCAAATTTCTTGTATTGACATGTTTTGTCTCTCCATTCTTGAAGGAACAATGTATTGTGTATATCATGTACAAATGTATATATTGATACAAAACTTGATATTGGGAAATGTGCATATAATTTATTCGTCAATTTTATTCCATTAACTTACTTTAGTTGCTTTAATTAGAAGAAGAGCTGAACAAAATCAAAAATATTAACATAGTAAATAACAAAGGTGTAAAGCAATTGCATAACATGCATATAGTCATTGTATACATGTATATTATTAGAGTCGAGGTTTGAGAAATATTTTATGATTGATAAATTTTTATAAACATTTTTTTAAACCAGACTTTTCAATCATAAAACTTTAGTCAGTACTCTGAGTACTCAAAACACCCAATCCAGTATTTTAAGAATGTTGGCTCCCCTGTTTCAAAATAACAAATTTTGAAAGACTGTTATAAATTGATAGTATATAGATAGCCGAACTTAAAAAGTAGAAAAAAATGATTTGTTTTTGAGATATAATCAATTGAAAATTTGGCTTTTTAAACTAAATGTCATAAAATTATGAAAAGAAAAAAAGGGGCTTCTGGCAAAAGTTTAATTGGCTCAACATGGATAAAACTAGAAGATTCCGAATATCTGACGAAATGTCAAAAACAAGGGTAGCGAACACCCTTCATATGTTGATTTCTGAGTCCTACTACAATAATCTTCCTCAAAGTTTTATGACAGCAAGCCCTGCTTGAATTGGAATGAATCTGAATTATGAAGACCAAGTCATGTCAATTTTAATAAACCGTTTTTGATACAAATGATTTAATGGTCTAATACTTCACAGTTGCATAGATAAATCACTATCAATATCATGTATGGAACAGTGTCTTCCATACTGAGACAGGCTGTGATAAAACTAGTTTTGTAAAGAAAGCTATATATGTATATAAGTTTCATATAGAAATATATGTAGAAGAAAACAAATCATACTTATACCCCATTTAATCCAATCATTGCTTGGTATTATTGCTGATGAAAAAAAACACCTCTGGTGGCACATGGCCGCTTATAAAGATAAATAAAAAAAAGAAATAGGAGATTCAAAAACATTTAATCGGAATTTCGATGAGACAATTACAATCATACCTCAACTTTTGTTCATAGAAAAATATTTCACATATATGCACTTAAATACATTGTGCACTACTCATGGTCACATTTCAACATATATTGTGTCTTTACAATATAAACATCTAGTGTATTATGTCGTTGTATATGGCATATGTAAAAATGTATTGTGTTGTATGAAAGACGATTGATTTAGAATCATGAACGTAGTGTAAAAGATGGATGAAGATTAATCCAGAAAAGCAATGCAAATTTCATATGTTTGACTTCAATTTCAAATGGGAATGATGGGCATTTATCTTGTTTATTTTCATGTATTTCAGGAAAACTTGAGGAAGTCCAGACTTTGTTGAAAGAGCCTACAATTAAGATAGACTTTACAGATGATGTAAGTAAAATATGTCGCATGTTTTTATACGACAACAACAACAAAAATTTGGGGTCGTATTTTGCTACCATGTCGTGGTCGTCGTCAGAAGACATTTGGTTTCCGGACAATAACTTTAGTTTAAGTATGGATCTCTACCACCAAAGGAAGGTTGAGATTGTTTTTGGGGGTGATGGTCCCAACAGTTTAGGAATTAAGGGCCAAAAGGGGCCCAAAACAAGCATTTTTCTAGTTTCAGGACAATAACTTGTGTATAAGTATTTTGATTGCTCTGAAATTGTACCACAAGGTTCAATATCACAAGTAGGAGGTTGGGATTCATTTTGGGGGTAATTGCCCAAACCGTTCAGGAATTAAGGGCCAAAAAGGGTCTAAAACAAGCATTTTTATAGTTTTTAGACAATAACTTGTGTTTAAGTGAATGGATGTCTCTTAAATTGTACCACATTTTACAAAAAGAAAATTTCTTCAAATGTTGGAGGGGGGGGGGGGGGCAATTTTTTCCCTTAAGATTTAAGAAATTAAAAAGAAAATTTCCTAAAATATAATTTTTTTGGAAAAGCGGGGGGTAAAAATAATTTTTTTTGGGGGTGTCAACTTTTTTTCCCTCAAGATTTAAGAAATTTGTCAATTTTCCAGAGAAAAATTGGGATCACAATTTATTTTGCTAATTCTTTGTATATTATCTGAAAACAGATTTACTAAGTATTGCGCAACAGCACAGTGTATTGCACAACAGCAAGAAATCTTCAATTGAATATAATTTCAAATCATATAACCAATTTCAAGTTCTTTGACTACATTTATTCTGTGTCAAAAACCTATAATGTGTCAAATATTTAATTACAATCCAAATTCAGACCTGTATCAAGCTTGAATATTGTGTCCATTTTTGCCCCAACTGTTCAGGGTTGGACCTTTGCGGTCGTAGCCAGCTGCGCTCGGCGAAGCAGTTTATTTGAAATTTATGTATTTTATTTTCTTAGTAAAACAGTCAGTCTTTACAGAACCTAGAACTTAAGCTGCAAAAATTTACGATGAGGTTTCACAAGATTTCCTTAAAATTAAAAATTTCTTGCAAAAGCAGTTAACACAGTGAACTAAAAGAAAATATCAAAGGTTTAATAAGTTAATCATGATTTCCTCATATTTTTTTTTACCTAGACTGGTACCACACCTCTTCAGCATGCAGCTTTCAGAGGAAAGACTGATATATGTCAGCTGTTGCTGGCCAATGGTGCTGATGTAAACTCAAGATATCATGACAATGGTTATACAGCACTTATGTTTGCTGCATTATCAGGTATGGCAAGGTTAATAACCAGTGATATCAATGACAATGGTTATACAACACTTATGTTTGCTGCATTATCAGGTATGGCAAGGTAAATAATCAGTGATATCAATGACAATGGTTATACAGCATTTATGTTTGCTGCATTATCAGGTATGGCAAGGTTAATAATCAGTGATATCAATGACAATGGTTATACAGCACTTATGTTTGCTGCATTATCAGGTATGGCAAGGTTAATAACCAGTGATATCAATGACAATGGTTAAACAGCACTTATGCATGCTGCATTATCAGGTATGGCAAGGTTTATTAGGGCCCGCCAAATGGCGGGTCGCCCTATAGTGATCAGTCTGTCTGTCCGTCTGTCCATCCGTAACAAATTATGTCCGCTCTATATCTAGAGAACCATTATGATTTCATACTTTATACTTGACATGTATATTAACCAACACCAGAGGGTGTGTCATAATGTTTGTACAACTTCCTAGGTCAAAGGTCAAGGTCAAAAACTTTGGTTTCAGTTGACAACCCCCATGTCCTATGGTAAAGATCGTGTCCGCTCTATATCTTGAGAACCTTTATGATGTCAATGTTTATACTTGACATGTATATTAACCAACACCAGAGGGTGTGTCATAATGTATGTACAATTTCCTAGTTCAAATGTCAAGGTCAAAAACTTTGGTTTTCAGTTGACAACCCCATGTCCTATGGTAAAGACCGTGTCTGCTCTATATCTAGAGAACCGTTATGATTTCAAAGTTTATACTTGACATGTATATTAACCAACACCAGAGGGTAGTCATTATGTATGTACAACTTCCTAGGTCAAAGGTCAAGGTCAAAAACTTTGGTTTCAGATGACAACCCCATGTCCTATGGTAAAGATACAAATTTTTTACCACATGTTATCATGGTTATTCACAGCGGGACCCACAGAGATGGCTCCCATCTCAATGATGTCTAGTTAGGTTTTATTAACGAACAAAGTATATAGTTGCTAGCCTGTACCAAGTCAGGAATATGTCAATTCTTTTCCATTCGTTTGAGCTTTTGATTTTGTCATTTGTTAAAGGACTTTCCGTTTTGAATTTTCCTTGGAGTTAGATATTTTTGTTATTTTACCTTTTTAAATGTCCAGTTTTATCTAAAATCAAAACAGTGCCTTTTACAGCCAACAGGACATTATTACGGGACCGTTATGGATTAAACCAGTTATTATGAAACGACTCTATATTCATGATGGCTGATAGTATTTAGAGACCTCTCTACTTGAAAATATAAACATCGGTTGAAGGAAAAGTTAATATCAACAATATCTTTCTTGTTTATTTCTCACTTGTTGAGATGAGCTTTCCAGACAAGTTCTGCACAGTACTGTCCAAATGGTTGCTCTGTCTAATTATTGCTGCAATTTCCGAATGATACAGTAACGATGGTGGAAGCAGTGTTAATCTCAAAACATTTATAAACCCTCATTGCTTTGAAAGTTGTGGGCTTTAAATATAATTTTCGAATCATTCAGTTTTTGGGAAGTTTGCTATAGCAATACTTTCCTTAGGCGTCAGCCTCAAACTTCCGGTGACAGACTATCGCAAATTTTCTGCTCCGAGATAATGTAGTAATAGTGTTTGAATACGGCTTCTAGGACGATGCTTTTGAAATTTTTAGTCCTTTTGAAAAGATTACAGCTGGAATAAAAATGGAATGAGTGTTCACCGACAATTCAGGTGAATTTAAATTTATTTTGAAAATGAGTATCACAAACAGTCAGGGGACTTATTGAAATAAGTGATTTTTAAATCACTTATTTAAGTAGCAAATTCGAAGTTTTGTCACAAATTGTGATTTTGTAGTTTTACCAAAATTTTAAACACATAGGTTTAGATAATATCTTTTCATTAGTAAAATTGAAAAAAATGAACTTTTTGCTTCTTTTAAGCAGCAAGGTTTATGCCTTTGATGCAATCATTTAGCTGCAAATTCTATTTTAGTTGAAAAAATGCTATAAAAATGGCTTTACATAATGGACTGATACTTTCTTAACAGATTTTTCCCAGCAGTGGGAGTATTTTTCCTGTAAAATTCAAGGTTTCTTCTTATAGATTATGTAATAAAATTCTACTGTTCGCGAACAAAATTTCACTGTTCGGGGGTGTTGAAATTAGTGGGGGTTATTAAAATAATGATACTTAAAGAAGTGATTTTTTGGAAGGAAATTGAGGTATGATACTTAAACAAGTGATTTTTATGTCATTATCCTAGATTTAGTACAAGGTCATCACCTGACATGACCCGGTCATCATATCAACACAGATGTTGGTTCTGATAATTTTAGCAACATAATTAGTCCCTGGATCATTAGTATTCTATATTTAAAGCTACAATAAAATTAAATCATTTAGTCTAGTGATTAATTTGTACTACTTAAATAGGTGATTATTAAAGAAAGACAACTCTTACTTCCAACCTTTATGGACATAATGTTACTTGAATCAGTGATTTAGAAAATCACTCATTTAAGTAAGTCCCCTGACTGACAAACACTACTTTGCGGATTTTCCATTCGCTGAAGAAAAAATCAAAAGAAATCTACGCAAGACATCGTTTCATTCATGAATATTTCATGAATGAACATTTTCCCGCGTAATTTTTTACTATGTACGATATTTACGAATGTTTATTATTAAATATAAAGTAAAAGCCCGAAAGTATCGAAAGACTCCCGTATTCATGACTGACATTACTGAATGCAACTTGTTTATATTTTGACAAAGCCGTCGGATAACTGACAAGTGATAAAAGTTTGATTGAACAATTATACACAGGTGACAGAAATACTCGATAATCATATGACTTATATCACACGCCAAGCATGAGTAAAGGTAAATACCGGCTATAAAACATCGGAAGGTTTTGATGCCAAAAACATTTGAAAACTTTTAAATTCCGCTATTTAAATACTAGCTATTTCACATTTCAATGTGGATTTAAGGACCTTCACTCGTCCATCATGCTCAGTCAGTTGGATCAAACTGACAGCAGCTGAAAAACATTGACTCAACGACAGTTCGTATATATCACAGCCTCCTCAGTGTTACGATTAACAATTACATTTGTACACAAATCGTTACAAGGATAAGGCAGACAAGTCAGCTTCTACTTAGAATAACTCAGTGTATCAAGACAAGTGCTGTAGCAATTATTTACATGATTAAATAAAAGTCCATGTAATAGCAAAATGACTTTCTTACTCTTAGTGCTAGTCCAAATAATTATGACGAACCAAAAATCTCAAATGTAATTGCCTCAATGCTAAATTTCACAGCATCAACTGTAAAATGTGTTGCAGGGTTATAAGCACCTCTATGAATCTAGTGCATATAAACTTTTTATTCCTGTCGTCATACTGCTATTGTTATGTCCCCACCATATTAAGTTTTACCCTTTTCTTCTGTAAGTATGTACGTCCCTTACTTGTACATACGTCCGTACATCCAAAAATTGGTTTCTGGTCTCTAACTTTTAGTTTTCCTAAACCAAATTGTATGAAACTTATACAAAATGCTTATTTCCACAAAACACAGGTCAAGTTGAATTTTGTTGGCGTCTATTTTACAATTCTAGAGTTATGGTCCTTAACAAATTGGTTTCTGTTCTCTAACTTTAGTTTTCCTAAACCAAATTGTATGAAACTTATAGGCAATACTTAATTCCACAAAACACAGGTCAAGTTGAACTTTGGTGGCGTCGATTTTACAATTCTATGAGTTATGCTCCTTAACAAATGGAAAAGTTGCTTGAATATTTTTGTTTACGATCTCTAACTTTAGTTTGTCTCAACCAAATGTTATGAAACTTATACACATTGCTTATTATCACAAAATACTGATTAAATTTGAGTTATGGTTGTGTCAGTTTTACTGTTCTAGAGTAATGCCCCTTTATAAATTCAAAAATTGTGTGATTGTTGTCGAGCCAACGACTTTTGTGGAAAAAGCGAGACATAGCGATCCTACATTTTGTCTGCGGCGTCCACAAATATTCACTCTTTGGTTAAAGTTTTTGAAATTTTAATAACTTTCTTAAACTATCCTGGATTTCTACCAAACTTGGACAGGAGATTGTTTATGATCATATGATACATAGTATCCAGAAGTAAATTTTGAAGAAAAAAAAATCCATTTTATCAGTATTTTACTTATAAATGGCCATGGACTTAGTTTTTCTGCCAGGAAACATAACCATGATAACATTCACTCTGTGGCTAAAATTTTTAAAATTTTAATAACTTTCTTAAACTATCCTGGACTTGTAGCAAACTTGGACAGAAGCTTGTTTATGATCAAAAGCTAGTATCTGGAAGGAAATTTAGTTTAAATTTTTGTTCTTGTTTTTCCGTATTTTACTTATTAATGGAATTAGATTCATAAACTATCCTGGATTTTTACCAAACTTGGACAGATGCTTCTTACAATTAAAAGATAGTATAGAGAGGAATATTGTTTTAAATTTTTTTCCTCATTTTTGTTGATTAACAGCAAAAGTAGGCGATATACCGGGTTCGGCAGACCACTTACGATTTTTTCCGTGCTCTAACTTCAGTTTGCCTCAACCAAATGTTACGAAACTTATACACAATACTTTTAACCACAAAACCAAGATCAAGTTTGAATTTTGGTGCCGTCATTTTACTGTTATCATGGTTATGGTTAGGGTTATGTCCAGTTACAAATGGAAAAAAATTCTGTAAAATCACAGTTCCTAGATATGGCATGGGGATATAAAGAAATTAACAGAGCTTATTGTATATTTGATTATTTTAGAACAACAGTTTAAGATTGCAATAGAAAATATCAAAATTTTATATGACAAACATATGAAAAAAAGTGATTTTTGATAATTGCCAAAAAGAAAATGGTTTAGTTAAAAACATCAAAACTGTGATTAAATACATATTTGAAATAATACACATCTATAACATATTTGAAATAATAAACTTCTACAGTTGCAAACTTCCCAGAGGTGCTATCCAGCACTTTGATTATGCCCAGCCTATGATTGTAGAGGAGTATTATGTTTTCTGGTCTGTCCATCTGTCCTATATCAGGTTAAAGTTATGATTAAAGATAGTTTGTGGTCACATCAACTTGAAACTTCTAAAAACCAAATTAGGTTTTTTGCAGTTCACTAAAGATGGAAAGGTAACATTGCAAGCAGGGCATGGTGTCATATGGACACATAGTCTTGTTTTGGTTTATTTTTTTTAAATAATTACACATCAAAATTGCTCCTCAAATATTTGATGAAACGAATAATTGTGTTTGTATATCATTTTCATATCATATAAATAGCAATTTTAGTATGTGTTTTTCTTGGCATACTTTTTATGCATTGCCATTTTTTTCTGCATAGGGAATGCTGAGACAACAAGGTTGTTATTAGAGGCTGGTGCTAGGACAGATTATACAAATTCTGTTGGAAGGACAGCCACACAGATGGCAGCTTTTGTAGGTATGTATGTATGCAAGTCAAATAATTTTTACATGGCTCATTAAAGAAAATATTGTAAAAAAATTAATGATAAAATCTGAGAAGTCAAAATTATACCAATCTAATTAAAATTAAATCTCCGCACTTGCTCCTCGTTGTTTATATGTCACGCGCGACATATAAACAACGAGGAGCAAGTGCAGAGATTTAATTTTAATTAGATTGAAATTATTTTTTTTTGAAGAAAATATTAGAGGATATAAATATTAAAAATAAATGAAATTTTTATATGACTTGTTTTATTTGTGATAACGTCCTGAACATGCATGAAATTTTCACCACTGGGTGTAAAGCAAACAACAATCAATCAATTTATCTGTCAAATGTATATATTAAAGCAAAGAAAATAAATTACTGTTTTATTTTAGGACAACATGAATGTGTTTCTGTCATCAACAACTATTTTTCTAAAGATGATTTGACACCGTACATCAAGATACAAGGTAGGCTTCATTATTAAACCCATGAAAAACCAGTGCATTGTTAAATGAATTTTTATATGTCTGTCTTAGACAGGACATATTATTGTGTAATGTTTTATGTCGAATTGCAACCTAACATTAATATTTAGTCACATAAAAAAAATTATCTTACTTTAAAGGTCACTACTTATAATGTCAAGGTCTTACTTTCTAAAAATAGACTGAAATGAATGCAGGAAAGAAGTTCTAAGATTGTAATTCTAGAATATTACATGTGAATGGTACCAAACTTTAATATATGGTCACATGTAGAATGTGTAATGATGGGAAGATCCATATTCATGTTTAAGGTTACTGTGTCCAAGGTCAAGGCCATAGTTAAAAATCATTAAAAATTAAATGGGATTGCAAGGAAACATGCATAGAAGTCACATTTGATGAGACGAGAATCCATATTGATTTCAAGATCATTGCTACCCAGGCAAAGGAAAAAGTTACTAAAAATTGATAGAAATTAGTACATAAAAGGAGTTTCCAGATAATACCCTAGAATATTGCAAGGGATTGAAACCAAAATTGTGATTATGGTCATGTATAAAGAAGTGGGTTGTTTTTATTCTTTTGATTCAGATCAAGAATTTCTATATTTCTTCTTCTATACTCTATTTGATTTAAAAGTATATGTTGTTCTGTGTTAGTTAAACATATATGTGACTGTGAGCAGGTGAGTATTTAAGGACAGCCACTTTCCAGCATGTATATACATTGTACATGTACATATTAATTACACTTTAAATAAAATTGCTGTTATGGATTTTTTGTTATAGGTAAATATATATATCTTTGTGATAACTTTTATATTTTTTTTAGGAGTTGACACAGAGCCAAGATTACCTCAGGAACTTGCTTCTCCTCTTGCAAAAATGATCAACTTTCCTAATCTTCATCCTGTCAAAGTAGGCTATTCTTTTTATGCGATCGCAAAAAAATGTTTTGGGTTCTTATAATGATATGATGTTGTTGTCGTCATCTGAAGACACATTTGGTTTCCGGACAATAACTTTAGTTTAAGTGAATGGATCTCTATGAAATTTTATAAGAAGGTTCAATACCACAAAAGGAAAGTTGGGATTAATTTTTGGGGTTATGGTACTAACAGTTAAGGAATAAGGGGCCAAAAACAAGCATTTTTGTAGTTTCCGGACAATAACTTGTGTGTAAGTGTATGGATCTCACTGAAATTGTACCACAAGGTTCCATATCACAAAAGAAAGGCTGGGATTGAGTTTGAGGGTAATTGCCCCAAACATGCAGGAATTTGGGGCAAAAAAGGGGCCAAAAACAAGCATTTTTATGCCCCCGCCGTAGCGGAGGGGGCATTAAGTTTTACCATTGTCCGTCTGTACTTACGTATGTACGTCCCAAAATTGGTTTCCGTTCTTTAACTTTAGGTTGCCTCAACCAAATGTTATGAAACTTATACACAATGCTAATTACCACAAAACACATATCAAGTTTGAATTTTGGTGGTGTCACTTTTACCGTTCTAGAGTTATGCCCCTTTACAAATGGAAAATTGCTGAATTTATCATTTCCGTTCTCTAACTTTAGTTTGCCTCAACCAAATGTTATGAAACTTATACACAATGTTTATTACCACAAAACACAGATCAAGTTTGAATTTTGGTGGTGTCACTTTTACTGTTCATGAGTTATGCCCCTTTACAAATGGAAAAATTGCTGAATTTTTTGTTTCCGTTCTCTAATTTTAGTTTGCCTCAACCAAATGTTATGAAACTGATACACAATGCTTATCACCACAAAACACAGATCAAGTTTGAATTTTGGTGGCGTCACTTCAACTGTTCTAGAGTTATGTCCCTTTACAAATGGAAAAAATGGTGAATTTTTCGTTTCCTTTCTTTAGAAATGGAAAAATTGCAAAAATTTTATTTTCTTCTAAATATCAAGTAATTTTTAAAATTGGAGTTATCTTCCTTTGTCCATGATTATAGTTGAATCAACTACAATCAATGCTTTATTCAATGCAATGTTTAATTTTGACTTCCACTGATAAAACACAGATCAAGTTGAATTTGGGTAGTGTCACTTTAACCATTATTGAGTTATGCCCCTTTATAAATCGAAAGATTGCATATTTTTTAGTTTCCATTCTGTAACTTAAGTTTGCCCCAACCAAACATTATGAAACCTATACACAATATTCATTACCACAAAACTAAGATCAAGTACAAACTTTTTGTTTCTGTTTTCTAACTTTAGTTTGCCTCAACCAAATGTTATGAAACTTATACACAATGCTTATTAATACATAATACAGATTAAGTACGAAATTTGGTGGCAACACTTTTACCATTCTTGAGTTATGTCCCTTTATAAACATAAAAATTGCTGAATTTTTCGTTTCCGTTCTCTAACTTTAGTTTGTCTCAACCAAATGTTATAAAACTTATACACAACCGTTCTAGAGTTATGCGTGTTTACAAATAGAAAAATTGCTGAATTTTTAGTTTCTGTTCTCTACCAAATGTTATGAGACTTACACACAATGCTTATTACCACAAAACTCAGATCAAGTTCAAATTTGGGTAGTGTCACTTTTACCGTTCTTCAGTTATGTCCCTTTATAACTATATGATATGCAAGTGGGGGCATCATCTGTGTCCACATGTGGACACTATCCACATTTATTCTAGTTTCCAGACAATAACTTGTGTTTAAGTGTATGGATCTCTCTAAAATTGTACTACAAGGTTCCATACCTCAAAGGAAAGGCTGGGATTGAGTTTGGGGGTAATTACTCCAAAGGGGTCAAAAAGATTGGGGGAGGGGGGATTTTTTCCACCATTTTTTTCTTCAAAATTTTTGAAAAGTTTCAAGAAGAAATCTTCAATTGAAAGTATTGCACAAAAGATTTTTATACGACCACAAAAAAAAATTGGGGTCGTATATTGCTATCACGTCTGCGTCGTCGTATTCGGAAGACTTTTGGTTTCCGGACAATAATTTTAGTTAAAGTGTATGGATCTCTATGAAATTTAATCAAAAGGTTGAATATCACAAACCAACCATTTAGGAATTAGGGGCCAAAAAGGATCCCAAAACAAGCATTTTTCTAGTTTCAGGACAATAACTTGTGTTTAAGTATGATTGCTCTGAAATTGTACCACAAGGTTCAATACCACAAGTAGAAGGTTGTGAGTTTTCAGACAATAACTTGTGTTTATTTTGCTAATTCTTTGTATACAGTCTGAAAACGGATTTACTAAGTATTGCGCAACAGCACAGTGTATTGCACAAAAGCAAGAAATCTTCAATTGAAAATAAATTCAAATCATATAACCAATTGCAAGTTCTTTGACTACATTTATTCTGTGTTAAAAACCTATAATGTGTCAAATATTTAATTACAATCCAAATTCAGACCTGTATCAAGCTTGAATATTGTGTTCATTTTTGCACCAACTGTTCATGGTTGGACCTCTGCGGTCGTATCCAGCTGCGCTCAGCAAAGCAACTTATTATATATTAATTCTTTGATTTAGTTTTAAAAGATATACGTTTTTGTAGATCTGTAGTACTTAATGAAAATATCTGATATTTGTGGTCTATTTTCTTATTGAATTATAAGGTCTACTGTCTTATTAATACCACAAATAGGCATGCAGATGGGACATATTTTTACTTTATTTACTGACCTCTTTTGTTTGGGATTAATTGTAATTATAACATTATAACGAGACTGAAAAATGTTTTTTTTTTTTGGGTAAGATACACAATAATTTTACCTGGTGTAGCCATGCATAAAATGTATATTGGCATTTCTCTTCAAAAATGACTTGTTTAATGTACATTTTGTGTGTAATTGAAAATCTTTTCTTTTTTCTTGGGAATAGGCTATTAAAAAATGATTTATGTACTCTACATGTGGAAATTTTGTGAAAATATAAGAAGTGGCAGTTTCATTGATAAAAAATAATATGGACTCGTCCAGGGTCAAGTTTGAAGGTCATTTAAGTGTATGTACATGTAAAAAGAAAAGCAAATATAATTCAGTTTTAAGAAAACAAATTTTTCAAATACATTTTGTTGTACATTTTCTGCTTGATAGATTAAAAAAAATAAGAGAAATAAGTCACCATCTGTTCATTTTTTTTTTGTTACATTCATGCTTGTTCTGATTTAATCAATATACATGTATGAAAAATTAAACAGTTAAAAGGTGAACTAATAATAACTTAATACAATCAAATTGTATAAGATTCAATAACAAAGACCGGTCCACATCATAATAAGTAATAGGGGTAAACTGGGTATGGAGAAAATGACAGATATTTTAAGTTCATTTTTTGTTATAACAAATAAAAATATATCAACCAAAAGTTTTGCTATAAACATGTCATTCTGTATTGGTATAGTTTTTGGATCTTTTATTTGTGTATTTAAGGCAATAGTAAGTTTGGGCTTTAAAAGTCTACATAATTATTGACTTTATACAGAAATTTCACCCTTTTAAAACATTCAAAGTTTCACAAATAATACATGGATACAAAGTAAAATCAATTCTTAAAAAAACATTGCAAAAAATTTCATTCTGATTGGTATAGTGGTATTGTCATATAAAAGTGCTTTGAAATGAACCGTGGTATAGCAAACATCAAATTCCCTCACAAAATGTCATCACACACTATAGGTCACTATTGAAATAGTTAAGAGACAAATAGAATTCCAGAGGTGCTTTTAGTCATATAAATCATATAAATCCAATTGATATTTAGAAATAAAAATTGGATCTGCTGAAAAAATAACTAAAAACCAATAAATGTTCCAAACTAAGGAAAAAAATGAAAGCCAATAAAAAAGATGTTCAAAACAACAACACATGACAAAATAATTAATGAAATATAGATAACCAAAAAAATAGTTAAAAAACAATGCATTAGAACAACCTTCATGTAACAAAATCAAAACTCAAAAGATTGGTTTGACACCATTTTCAATTATCTTTACCTTTATTTTAAGAATTCCATACATCTGTTAAACGAAGGGATGTTATATTTAAGTTAAGTTTGTTATATATATATATCGATGAACCCTAGCTATAGAGACAAGATTGGAATCATTGCTCTATTAAAATTGCTTTGATTTGATGCTTTGTAAACTAAAACATTATCCTTGCTGCTATCTAGGTAAATGTTAAATGTTTGGAAACTTAAACTAAACAAGAACAAATGAGTTTAAAAAGTTAAGATAAACAGAGATAAATTTCAGTATATACATTAAAAAGATTTATAAAAAAGAAAAATGTTCAGTAACTGATAATTATGTTCGGTGTTTTGTAATGATAAAAAAAAAAACGGAATTGAGACAGGGGTGGTACTTTAAGTTTGTATATAGCTTAAGGCATATCTATTAAAGTTGGATGGATGGTGGTAATTTTAGAAAGAAAGTCTAAACAATTATAGGAAATAATCAATTAACATTTTATGCATAAAAGTGACAAATACAAAGTGCTATCTGACATTCCTCTTCCGCCCATAGATTAATTCTGGGACAGCCCTTAACTGTATAAGGAAAAGTAAAGGTGTTTTATTGACCAGTCTGCTTCCAATATTATAAATAGGCACACTTTTTTTAATTCCTTTATTGGAATATTTATAATTTTTTGCTTTGACTGGTTTGATCAAATAGGGATTGAATATCTGAACTACGTTAATGAATTTTTTTTTTGGTATTTTGATATGCATTGCCATGAAAAAAAGTTTTTTCAAATAACAGTTGATGGAGCCAAGTTTTCCCATTAAAACATCTCCTTGTACTAGGTGATGAAATGTATAACATTGAATTTAATCACAATTTATTTTTCTTAAATAATATAATTTTATGTAACATTTTTAATTTCAGCTTGCATTTTACCTTCAAGAGAACTCAGGACTTTTAGAGAATTCCACCAAGAAGGTTGTTCGTACATTGGAGTCATTATGTGAAAAGTGTATGAAAGCCAGAGAGACAAATCATGTGATGGCAATGAAAACACACTATTTTTCATTTGTCGTAGCAGAAGCTGGCAAAGTATACAAAGAAAAGGGTAGTCTTGATGAATGGATTAAACAGTAAGTTGGTATAATATAAAATGTGTTTTCAATCTTGCAAACCCATTAAGGTGGTACCAAACACCTTGACTAAAACTAATTTGGCTCGTTTAATTTTCATAAAATTTTGACAAATTATTTACTTTGACCCTTTGACAAAAATATAAAAATTTCAAAAAACTTGAACCACACGCTTTATCTGAAAAATTTCTTTGGATATACAGCAGTTTGACAAACACTAATTTTTGATCCTTGAGAAGCTTAATATTTCCTTAACAATAGAACGCAATTAAAATGATCAGCTGATTTTTACAGAGTTATCTCCCTGTAGTGTTATGTACCATCTTAAGGTATAGTAATATGATTCTGTGTTAGGCAGGTGCAAAAAATCTTCTGATCATTGATCTAGAGCTCGAGGCATTTATCAATTGTGTGTTCATTCATTTTTGTGTATTCATTAATTTTTGTGTGTTCATTCATTTTTGTGTGTTCATTAATTTTTGTGTGTCCTGTTTACATGGTTTAAGCTTAGAATAATTGAGGAAAAAGTGAAAACACCTTTTACAGCCGATTTCAATGAGTGTGTAGGCAAAGGTAATATCTTTGGTTAGCTTGCTTGCTAGCTGAACAGTGAAGTCATTGTTAGGTTAGGTAAACTACCCTCCTTTAAGAGTAGACTAGTCCAACAGAAAACCAACCTATCTGTCTGTAGAACTAGGCTACTTTGAAAGGAGGGTAGTATACCTTACCTAACAATGACTTCACAGTTCAGCTAGCAAGCAAGCTAACCAATGATATTACCTTTAGCTACACACTCATTGAAATCGGCTGTAAGGAGTTGTGATAAGACATTTTGTTGTCAAAAGATAATAACAAAATTTGTGGATGAAAAGATGAATCATTGTCTATACATATAAATGGTATAAAATCAAGTTAAACAATATCATAGAATATAGATATATTTCATTTATTGCATTGACAGCATATTTTATACCCTATGCAGCTGTTTGAGGAATAGTGTTCAATACAGTTCTAAAAACTTAAATCATTGATATGTCTGGTTGATTTGTTCTTAAATTCAATTATACTGACTTTAACTTCACTTTGAGGTTAAATTTAACAGACTTAAACATTTAGAATATGACTTAAACTGCCACAATGTTATTCTGATAGCAGTAGCATGGTCACCACCAGTAGTAGTAAAGAGAATCTTCAACTTGATATGGTTGTAAAAAATGACACATTAGCTCAGAATCAGAATAATGTATGTGGGCTTTGTGACAATACATGAAACTTGTTACATTTAGAGCTAGCACTTTCAAATTCAGGCTTAGTGTGTAAATCTAGTACAATGGAAGATTCATATTTACATTATATCAATGTGTTTTTTGTCCTGATACAATATTTACGCTTTAATTTAATGGTTTAGGATTTAGCCAATCTGATTCTTTCCTTTTCAAAAGATTGAACTGTAGGTTCATGCTGTTTAATTTTTATGCCAAACTAACAAATATATCTCTGAAGTATAAAAAAAAAAGATTTCTGCATAGGCGCATTTTACTTCAAATAATGTGTTCTTTTTAACATAAATATATAAAATATCCACTCACTGACCACTGTGTTTGTGTTTTAAAAATACCCTATAGCAGCTTATTTGTTATTGGGTAATTTAGTTTCCTCAAATTATTTTACTTACGGAAAAATATGTAAGTAGTCAATTTATATAAGTTAATTCTGCATTTGTCATCATTCACGATTTAACTTTTTTCAGCTGTTTCAAATTAAGATGTATATCATTGTCAGAGAACAAACAGACATGACAAAGCAGGAAAGATAGTATAGATGATGACCAAAAAATTTTCTTTTGCCACCAACGGATTCAATCTTTTCAGATTATAAATCACTTGCATCTTTTAGACAGCCAAAATGGATCAATCATTATTAGAAATGAGGTTAACTGTTAGTCATATTACGTTTATAGCAGTCTTTTTTGAGATATTGCAATTGATGAACTCTGTTTGTATATGAAGTTACATTTCTGTATTTTTAGGTTAATTAAAGGAAGACAGTCTGATGGATTTTCTGTAACACAAGAGAATTTGATTAGAGAATCAATAAAGCAATTTCTTTATTCTGATTGCCCATTGTTTCATCAGTGTGTTCGAAGTTTAGCACCTGTAAAAATTGTAAGTTAACCATGTCATTTAGGAACATATAACTGCATAATAAGATTTGATGCTTCAAGGAATGTGTCTTTCTTGGCCTACATCTATGCTGGTGTTAACAGATGTTGCCACGTTGGACATTGCCATCACTTGATGTACATTGTTGATGTAAAAAAAATTCAAAAATCTTTATCTCTGAAACCATTGGCCAAACTGGACCAAAACTGGCCACAATCATCCTAAGAGTATGTAGTTCAATAAATATGTCACATATATTTGCCAAGCTAATATAATGGCCACTGTGGCTTAGAACATAGGGTCAAAATCAATTTGTTTAGTTCATATCACGAAAATTTAAACATATGAAGAGATAAAAAGTAATCTAAAAATTCTAGCATTCCTTCCATTGGTCTTAAATCATCAGTGGTCTCCCTAGAGGAGTTATTATAAATTCGTCAAAATTCAAAACAACCATATAACTTTCAAATCAAAGGGCATTAATTATTTCAAAAATAGGTCAACACATATATAACTCATGTATGGTTGCAGGTCTGTAACAACTCATGATGCAATTTTTATACAAACTATTTGCTCAATATATGTAGTTGGTCTTAACTATGAAGAAAAGTTCCTCTTCATTTAAGTTCAGTGGTGGTCTTTAGGTCAACAGAAGGTAAAATAGCACAAAGTGAATTTGAATAATAAATGTGGGTATATGTGGTTGACATAGCAACCCAATTACCAAACAACACAACAACAAAAAAGACATCTTGAAGTCAACATACAGTTTTAACCGATATATGTCTCACTGGTATGCCCAAGTCTGAATTGCCTCGAATCTAGACAAGTTGTAAATACATTTCATTGTTGTTCCCACAAATTTCATTTAATCCTGGTAAAATGGGAATTTTTGAAATAGCATCTTTGTTTGGGAAATTATTGCATCACATCCATAACAAAATCCATATTAAAATCATTTCAGATGGCTTTACATTCATAACAATAAAAAAATCACATTACTAAGATGCTAAAAGGCCCTGGAGAGAATATTGGTATAAGTAGAGAATACCAAAGACCTAACTGCACCAAATTTTCAACAGTTGAAAAACCCACCTAAGATATTACTAGACAACCACTAATAAAGTTCCTTACTTTAAACCTGCATATTAAAATCTGATTGCAAATCAGTTTTATATATCAATTGACCATTATTTAACATCACTAAAGCCATTGAACTAAGAAATATTCATGAAATTAACCGTTTTATGTACTGTTCTCAGCTGACCTAGCAGAAAAATATTCTTCATAGCTTCATGTTGTGTTTCCTGACAAATTCCACCTCAAACACTGACCTTGCCAATACATGATCTTCCAATGGATGCTTTTTTCCCTAAAAACTTGGATCACAAAGCAAATATCTCTATGCTTCAATGTCATATGACGTGTTTTCCCCAAAATGAGCTCAGGTCCACTGAGGCAGTTCATTCATAAAATTGAAATTGGAACCTCTTGTATTAGAATTATGACACCTTAAACATTTAACTTTCAATTATTGCGATTAAAATAGGGGGAAAATGAATGCATTAACCTTACAGTTGGTTTTGATTAGTATTACATGGCTATAAAAACAACTTTCAAGGAGATGTTCAAATATATATCAGTAACATGTAGCCTAATAAGATGGTTCAAATATATGTGCCCAAAGGCTGTATACGTTTTTTACATGTTTACACCCCACTTTAAAATACCCCCGCTTTAAAAAAGTGGGGGTATAATGTTTTACCTCTGTCTGTCTGTACGTCCATCCATATGTCAGTCCATCCGTCCGTCCGTCCCATGATTATTTATTGTCGCATTTTTCTCAGGAACTACATTACAAGGATTTCTGAAATTTGGTTTCAGCGTTTTAAATGAGTCAGCTATACCATGTGATGCGTTTTCAGATTCATCCCTCAACAACTTCCTGTTTACCGAACACTTACATCATTTTACAAATGACATCCAAGTAGTTGAAAACTTTCGTCACATTTATCTCAGGAACTACATTACAAGGATTTCTGAAATTTGGTTTCAGGGTTTACTGTAAACCAACTTATTTTCACGGATACTTTATTTCGCGTTTATCCCTTTCTAGTTCATTTCGCGGCGATTTAATTTCGCGATTCTCAAATTTCTTCATGTAGATAGCTAAGGAAAAATCCAAGTTTAACATATTTGTGAAGATTTATATTGGCGTTATTTTTCTACTTGCGAAAAACGCCAAAAATAAATCGCTCGCGAAAATTAGTTGGTTTACAGTATATGAGTCAGCTATACCGTGTGATGCGTTTTCCGATTCATCACTCAAAAACTTCCTGTTTACCGAAATATTTGGGCGAGGGTATCATTAGTGAGCAGTAGCTCACAGTTTCACTTGTTTTGTAGGGTGATGATCCAACAGCATTAAATGTCCTGTCACAAGTAATTAATGGACAAAGATTCTTCAATGATGATAAAACATGTACAACTTGTGGTGAAATTAAAGCTGAGAAAAAATGTTCTGCATGTAAAATGGTAATGTATAAAGATTAATGTATGAAACTAAGTCACTGAAACAAATCATTTTAATGTGATTAATCATTGTTATGTATATATATTACGAATAGTGAACATTATAAAATCAAAACAAACTTAGTTGAAATAAAAAAACAAAGTCAGTCTTTTAATGGAAAAATATTTTTGAAAAAGAAAATATATTTCTTAATTTTTCAAGCTAAACAGATGAATTATGTTAAATCATTATATGAATACATAAACAGTATGGCAGTCTGAAGTGCTTGATGAAGATGTTGAAAAAAGCTGATTTTGGGAAAATGTTTTATGCTTACCATTTCAGGGCTTTCAAAAAATATTTGTGTTAGTCCGGCATTTTTTATTTTATCCTGATTTTAATCTTTTAAGACTAAGTAACAAAGACAATCATGCTAATCAGTTGGGCATCATATAAACAATGATTTACATAAAACTTTTGATACAAATTCGATGTCCTGACGTAAACTGTTAAGTTGACAGTGCATCATTCGAAGTGTGCAACATTAGCGTACTTATATCTGTTTTAAGAATCTTTATTTGTGCAAAATTACATTGTCAAAAACTTTACTTTCATTTTTAGAAGGCACATTTTCTTTTACCTGATGTTGACTTGACAATGGTAAAACACGGATCAGAGACGCATACGTAAAATCGGTGCACATTTACTATTGAGTTTAAGTAGCTCTTTCCACGTTATTTATTCAAGAAAATACTTGAATTGAACGTTGGATAATGGTATCAATGATAATTTTAGCATTTTTGAAGAATTTGGATGCCTTCGGGTGCGGGAGTTTCTCGCTGTTTTGAAGACCCATTGGTGGCCTTCGGCTGTTGTCTGCTCTATGGTCGGGTTGTTGTCTCTTTGACACATTCCCCATTTCCATTCTCAATTTTATGCATAAGTAAATCTCACATGCGCATGCTTGTACTAGTTCAAACAATGTGGTTATGACGGTTTTTTGCTTAAAACCTTTATAATTACCTTTTTAAATTTTTCATCAAATCAAATTTGTCTAGTTCTGAATTATGTTAAAATGGCAAACCCACGTTAAATGTCAATTTCAGGTTCGGCACAACAAATCATATATATAATTTATCGGTCATGTCAGGAAAATACGACTGTTTGTAAGCCCTGTACATTTGTGTACCACTGTCAGGTACAATGAAAATTATCTCTTGTTTCCTTGCAATGCTGCAAAGAATTAACCCTAAAATCGGTATATCATGCAACTACTGTATTTTTCTTGTTAATATTTTTGTTAAGACAAAAGGCATTAATTTGATCATATTTCAATAAAATACCTGATATAGTTTTGTTGTGTTTTTCATTGCTCTCCTTTAATTTAAGCTCTACAGCTGATCAATATAAAAAATTATGTAAATACATGTTTGTCTATTTATCTTGTAGGTTAATTACTGTAATCAGACATGTCAAAAACTTCACTGGTCTACACATAAAAAGTTCTGTAAGAGTTTAGCAGGTTTGTATCATGTACATTATATTTTAAAAGCAGAAGCATGGTAAATAATTGATCTTACATGATCATAGCTTAAATTATAGTTTATTGGTTTTGTATTTCTATAAACATCTTAGCCTACATGGGCCCAAGCACCGGTTATGAAATGTTATGAAACTTATACACAATGCTTATTACCACAAAACACAGATCAAGTTTGAATTTTGGTGGCATCACTTTAACCGTTCTTCAGTTATGTCCCTTTATAACTATATGATATGCAAGCGGGGGCATCATCTTTGTCCACATGTGGACACTATCCACATTTATTTGTAATGTTAATTTCTCTCTTATTATGAGTAATAGGACAACTATATCTTATATATGCAAGGTCCTCATGCCCGTCAGACAGTTTTCATCTGACATGGACCTCATTTCATGGATCAGTGAACAAGGTTTAGTTTTTGTGGTCAAGTCCATATCTCAGATACTATAAGCAATAGGTCTTCTATATTTGGTGTATGGAATGATTGTAAGGTGTACATGTCCAACTGGCAGGTGTCATCTGACCTTCACCTTATTTTCATGGTTCAGTGGTTATAGTTAAGTTTTTGTGTTTTAGTCCGTTTTTCTTATACTTTAAGCAATAGGTCTACTATATTTGGTGTATGGAATGATTGTAAGGTGTACATGTCCAACTGGCACGTGTCATCTGACTTTGACCTCATTTTCATGGTTCATTGCTCAGTGTTAAGTTTATGTGTTTTTGTCTGTTTTTCTTAAACTATAAGCAATAGGTCAGCTATATTTGTTGTATGGAAGGATTGTAAGCTGTTCATGTCTGCCTGGCATGGTTCATCTGACCTTGACCTCATTTTCACGATTAATTGGTCAATGTTTAGTTTTCTTGGTTGAGTCTGTTTCTTAGAAACTATAAGCAATAGGTCAACTATATTTAGTGTATTGAATGATTGTAAGGTGTACATGTATTTCTCGTTTGGTTTATATGACCTTGACTTCATTTTCTTGGATCATATTAAGTTTATGTGATACTTTTAGTAAGCTTTATATTTAGGACTATTAACATAAAATCAATGGTCAGTAAAGAAGGCGAGACATTTCAGCGTGTGCACTCTTGTTCCATAACTGTCCAGTTTCTTCTCAAGCCTGTGACAAATATCACTGAATGTGAGACAACGTTACTAATCATATTGATTTTAGGGTTTCTTCTTTGATATGATTGGGTGAATAGTCAGTGTTCATTCATGTTATGCTTGATACAGGTTAATCTTCGTTCTTTTATTTTTTTAATTGATTTTATAAGGGTTTTTTATCATTAATCAGAATTGTGCATAGATGCAAGTGGGCTAATTTAGGCTCTTTTGAGCATCCATTTTCTGACTAAGATTTTTAAAAGATTTGAATTTTTGTTCCAATAGACCACTTTGAAGTTATATCCTTCACCAGAAAAGTTCATAAATTATGCGCGCCTTTATGATGTCATTTATCAGATGGAGGGGATAGCCTGTATCCCTGCACTATTAAAGTTCATCAAGCGTCTTCGTAATTGCCATTATGCTGGATAAACTAGAAATAATGTTTGTTCCGTACAGGGCTTCCAAAATTATTTTTAGCCAGCCGGACATTTTATATATTATCCCGATTTTAATCCCTTAAGACTAAATAAACAAAAGGCAATTATGGTAATCAGTTGCCGAGTTGGCCATCCCAATGATTGACATTAAAAAAAAACGATATTAAACTTTCTTTGATTCAAATTCGAAGTTCTGATGAAAACTGTTAAATTGGCAGTGCATCATTCGAAGTGTGCAACATCAGCGTACTTATATCTGCCTTAGACTCTTTATTTGTGCAGAATAACGTTGTCAAAAACTTTACTTTCGTTTTTAAATCTAACCGGATGTTATCTTGACAATGATAAAACATGGACCAGAGACGGATACGTAAATTCCGTGTACGTTTGCAAAGCATGAATGAGTGCAAGTAGCTCTTTCTACGTTATTTCTTCAAGAAAATATTCGAAATAAACGTGATATAAAGGTATCAATGAAAAGTTAAGCATTTTTTAAAGAAATTAGGATGCATAATTAAATTTCACACCTGTGTGCGCATGTACTAGTTCAAAGATCTTCGGTTCAAACAAAGTGGTTATGACGATTTTTCATTTTCACCTTTTTAATTTTTTCATCAAATCATATTTGTAAACGCATTTCTGATCATTTAAATCTTTTTGACTAAATTGATTAGATGCAAACCGCTGAAATGTAAGAAAATAACTTTGAATAGACCGATCAATGTTCAGTTCAAAATAGTTTACCTGTCACCTGAACAGGTAAATTTCAGCTGTTCGACAACTAATTAGCCTTGATTAAAATGAGAAGGTATTAAAGTAGGGGTTGTTTTGATAGTACTTAATGATCATGTCACTTTTATGACCGGAAATGTGTGGCTGTTAAAGGCAAAAGGTTGGGACAAAAAGATTGCGAATTATGTTAAAATGACCGTCTCTTAAGAAAGCCTTGAAAACTAAAAAGTAGATGACCGCTTCATGCTTTGCCCAGCCGGACTTTTACCGGACATTATACAAATGTCCGGAATATATGACCGTTTTGGAAGCCTTGGTTCCGTAGGTACTTACCGGTAATCATAATTCCCTAATGACAGCAGTGCTGATTATCAATTATAAGAATTTAATTGGCAGAATAATTCGTGCAATATAGCGTCATATTTTTTTCAACCGCTCGCTCAATACGGGAAGGAAGTGATGATGCCTCTAAACACACGAAGGGGTGTTCACTGAAACCAAAGTTTTTGACTGAAATGCAACAAACTCAAAAGTAGTCTATTCTTTCCCATACATGTTTTAAACAGGAATTACAAAGACAAATGCAATCCTCATTTTTTAGAGGAAGATTTATTTTGTAATTTCTTCTGCTGGAAAAAAATTAATTGACATTGGCACACATTTAGCTTATTTTATCTACTGAACTAATTGCCTCTCTTTCTTAAGAATGGCAGTATAAATACAATATATACAAAAGTGCTATATCATGATGTTTTTTTCTCACCATCATACCTCAATGGTAGACTAAAAATCAAAGTGCATATAACTCCTATTATCTTTCCACCAGTGATTTCGATCACTTTTATTGCATTTAGAGGTATAAATGGTTGTATTATAAAATGTATTACATTTAAAATATTATTAAATGATTGTTTTTGCATCAGTATTTGATAAATGCATTCTTATTCTTATCTTTCAGAACAATATATAAGAATTGAAGAAATGAAGAAAAAAGAAGAGGAACTTAAACAGAAAGAAGAAGAATTGAAGAAACATGCAGAAGACATTGAAAAGAGGAAAGGAGAAATTGAAACATTAGTGGAACAAAAAGAAGAAATAGAAAAACAGATAGCTGAGCAGTAAAATAGACAGATTTCTTTATGTTCAATAGCAATTGTAGGTTGATTATATAAAGTTACCATTGTCCTTCTTTATGTATGTCAGAATTGATTTAAATTTTATGACATGCTCTTCTCAGTAGCTGATGAGAATAAATCAGTTTTATTTCACAATTTAATCATCTTATATCTAGTAGAACCATGATCAACAATAGTTAATTTTGACTACAGAAACTCATTGATATTTCATGAGTATTTCTTAAAGTGAAATTATATTTAATTATTATTGTTTTAATTTTTTATAGTTTCTGAATTAGGATTTGTTCATGGCCATGAGTTCTTGAATTCTTTAATTAAGGAATGACTGTAATATTTTTTCTGTCTATGAAGAAATAACATAAAAAATGTGGTGCACACTGAATAACCCGCGTACCGGGTTATTTTAAAGTGTGCACCACATTTTTTATGTTATTTCGAATAGACAGAAAAAATATTACAGTCATTTCTTATAATTTAATTCTAAATTCCGTTTTAAACCGGAGTAAACCATGAAAAAACGTTGATGACGTCATGGTCACATGACAAAATAATGTCTATGAGCTGATAAACAAAACAATGTCAGCCAATCAGAAGACGCGTTACATCCAAAATTAAATTATTCCTGAATGTACATGTATTTGCTTTGACTTTAAGCAACAATAATGAATCAGTTTTAATTAGTGTTGTTAACCTTTTGTTGAACTACTTTAATTAATATTTGCATTAAGCCTGTTGTGATAGTTTTATGCCCCACATAGGGGCATTATGTTTTAGGTCTGTGAGTCCGTTCGTCCGTCCGTCCGTCTGTCCCGCTTCAGGTTAAAGTTTTTGGTCAAGGTAGTTTTTGATGAAATTGAAGTCCAATCAACTTGAAACTTAGTACACAGGTTCCCTATTATATGATCTTTCTAATTTTAATGCCAAATTAGAGTTTTGACCCCAATTTCACGGTTCACTGAACATAGAAAATGATAGTGCGAGTGGGGAATCCGTGTACTATGGACACATTCTTGTTTAAGAATATAGTCTGTTTATATTTTATTGAAAAACTCAGTTCTGGAACATTTTGATTACACATAATGGCCTGTATGAAATTTCCATCCCATTTTCTGAGGAACTCTAAATCATTGCTTTCTGAAATTTGGAATCAAGCTTCATGTTAGCATGGTATACCGTTTGATGCATTTTCAGATTCATTGCTCATCATGTCAACTGATACTTACATTGAGGGTATCAATAGTGAGCAATAGCTCAGTTCAACATGTTTAATCTTGCTATACATTTACGGTTAAACATTTTGTTTTGGCTTCTGTTCATCATAAAATTTGTTCAACGAAAGATTTCTACATTGACAATTTTGCCCTGTAGTTTTGTAGGTCCAAAATGTATATGTTAATGGTACACTAAATACCTTTAGTTGTATTTTGAGAAGGTAGCATAGTCAATATGATTTGTTGTCATTGAGAAAAATGACATGGCTTTATCAAATAAAGAAATCAATTACTAATCCCAAGAATTTACATAAAGTATACTTTCCAGAAATACAAACAACCCATATTTTCTTTTGATTAGATTAGATAAGAATTTTTTTGTAAAATTATTAAGTACAAAATAATTGTACATATATTTCTTTTTTGTAGAGTTTGTGCAAGATTATGCATTTAAAGGAGGACTTATAATAAGAACCATTATTTGGCCCCTAAAATTGCAAAAATAATTTAATTATTCGAGACTTTTAAAATTTTGTTTATTTTTTTGATAAATGAACATGTAGATATGATTTTGACGCTTTATTGCAGAAAGGTCACTTTTCATGTCACTATGGCATAATAAACATGTCAAAAAATGGCCATTATACACTTAGTTTTTGGACAAAACAGTTTTGAGCCAAGGCCTTTCCCAAAAATCAGTTTTATGGTAATAAAAACATTTTTGGCAGTAAATTTTTATACACTACTTTTTAGCTATATAGGCTACTGTTTCAACTTGTAAAGAGTTTATTTCTTATCAGTGTTGTAATAAGAAACCGAAAATTTCCATGGTCTTTGTCTAGGAATAATGCAAGTTTTTGATTACAGGCAGTCAAGGTCAGCATGGTCATGGCATGATCAGGGTCAATACTAATTATCATTGGCCACAAATATTTTAATTGACCAATGAGGATAAAGTGCATGCTAACTTTTAACAAGCGTCTGGTTGCGCCCGCATTATCGCAATTGCAGTGGATGCTACTAGACGCTATTTTTGTTTTGCAAGAAAAGTAAAGATTTTCAATTTTCCACCCACCTACACCCTCTTTACTAAGTTTATTTTTATTATTTTATTATGTCTAATGTTGATTGTATAATTTTGTTTGTTTATGTTTTGTAATTTGTTTACTGATGGGTGGCGGTATTTATTCCCCACCTTTGCAATTGTTGTCATTTATTCAGTTTTGTTTTATGACATAATTGTCCATCACTGTCAGTTGTATAATGCTTTATGATATTCTGAATAAATGACCTTTTTCACAAATCTTAAGTTAGATATTCTGCAAATGAACTCGCATCCTTGGTATCCATTTTCATGTCTTTATTTAGACAAGAAGAAAAATTTAGCTGACAAAAATGATATTTACACACATTAACATCTTTGTAACAGACATCTTGTAGCAAAATTTCTCGGCTCATATCTATATATAGGCTATTCAGATAGTTTTTGCAGTTTTGCACTGGATTGAAATTCTAACATTTAACTGTTTGCAGCAGAAAACTCCTTGATATCCTTTCTCAGATATCCAAATGCAGTACAGCTTTCTCTCAATAAACATGAACACAGATAATATGTTTTTGTTTGTTTTTTCTCTACATGTGGAAGTAGTTATTAATGTATGCAAAACAGACCTAAATGTTATGAAAAACAAGGATTGTATTTACAAAACATGTATTTTATGTAGAAGAACACTAAATGTATAATAATATTTTATGATGTTTTTGAATTGTTTGTTTTTGTTCAAAATTAATTTGTTATATTTTAGATGTTTGATATCAATTCTCTATATTTTGGATTCTTGTAGACTTGTCTTGTATACTTTAAACTGGTTGAAATTTTAGGAAACACATTTTCAATAAATGTTCTTAAAATTCCATAATTATCAAGATGCAATCATGAACTAGCAATAACCTATGTGCTTTTAATTTTGATTGGAAATTAAGTTTCTTTGAAAATGTTCTTTTTGCTTTTGCATCAAACTTACATATTTTATTTTCCACATGAAACCACAAAAGCAAACTTTGGCAGAACTGTTTCAGCTGAACCTAATTTTTCATCTGCCCTGACCATCATATATAACATGCCCAACCGTGTGGTTTCCATATTAGATTCACCAAAAGGAACAAAGTTAACCATAGTTGGTACCATATGCAAGTTAGTGTAAGATTTCTTACACGAAACATAGTGAATGGGAATTATGTAGACATCTAATAATATCTTACTTTAGCCTCTATATATTGTCATGTAAACATTTGTAAAATCACAAAATAAATAAAGTTATAATTTTTTTTAGTGAAGTCCATGTTTTCTAAACTTTATTGTATTTGGTATGTTTATTTAGGTGACAGTAACTTATTACTTATTAATTTATGTAATACAGGGTTAACTGTTTAAAAGTAATTTCTTTTCCACAATCTTGCCCAACTGCTATCACAAAAAACAAATGTAAAAAAGAATTATTTTCTTAAGTATTTTGAATATCATTGAAAGCAGTTGAAATGTACTCAACTGACTTTTTCTAACATTTGTTACCGGTAAAATCAAAATCATTTGAGCCTATAAATTTGAATAAAAAAAATCTGGAATCAAGAAAATTACACAGATATGTTGTTGTTAGTTGATATTAAAATATGATACTGTATTTACTAGGAGAATTGTCCAAGTATTTCTGCAATTATGCAAATTTAAATTGAAGTTCACTGTAACATTCCCATGGGTTATTCAAAGATATGTCAAACTCAGTCATATTATAAGATAAATTCTCAGAAATATGTTTTGGTCTTTACAAAAGTGCATGGTTATTTCCATATTACTAAGATCATAATATAAATTTCAGAAATTTTATTGGTCTATTAAATTTACAATTCTTGGTCAAATTTTATAATTATATGTTAAAGCATTCCGTCCAGCAGTGAAGCTGATCATTTGGTGTAAAATTATTACAGTTATTATGTTGATGTAAAGTAATAATAAAGTTGATGTAATATATGCTTTTAAGAATTTATCTGCCTGACTTTTCTCTATGGTTGTTCCTAATCCAATGCTGTTTAATGCATTCCAAGACTACCAAAGAATCTTTCTAGACAAAATTAAATGACATAACAGTGAATGAAAATTTGGAAAACAATTTAAATGACTATCTAACAAACTATTCCTGTCTTTCAGTCCTAAATTAATATGTTCTAAGGTTTCTAAAATGCCTTTTGAGGTTTTTCCATCACTTTGCATCTGTTGTCTTTTTAACTGTTGTCTGTAAACTTTTCTATAAAGATCTCCTCTAAAACTGCTCTGTAGATTGAAACAAAAATTTGTCTGTTTCGTCTATAAGATGTCTTCTTTGAAGTTTTTGATTTTTGTCTAGGTTGATCATATAATACGGCTACCGGTAATAATAGAACATAGGGTTGAAATTGCAGGTATTTTTTTTCTTGCCTGCAACGAAAGTCACGATTGTTATAAGTTTTCTGCTAAAGTCAGTTTGATAGGAACTACTGGTGATAGATCCTACAAAGTACTTTCAGCACATTTCAATTTGACACTATTTATAGGCCCTGCCCCCTAGATCATGGTCCAGCAACTTTCCTTTATCAATTGGCAAAATCAAATGCTCAAACATATCAAACGAATGAAAAACAACTGTCATATTCCTGACTTGGTACAGGCATTTCCTTATGTAGAAAATGGTGGATTAAACCTGGTTTTATAGCTAGCTAAACCTCTCACGTGTATGACAGTTGCATAAAATTCCATTATATTGACAACAATGTGTGAGCAAAATAAACAGACATAATAAGTAAAAATGTGAAAAATTGGGGTACAGCAGTCAACATTGTGTTATAATCTTAATCACTATAAAAACAAATAACTATTTCAACAAAGAAAAAACAAAATGGCATATAGGCACTCAATAGACAAAGTACATAAGCAAAAATGAAAGACAAGAATACAAAAATGACACTAGCACAATAACACAATGGCGAGATAATTGAATACAGAGCCATGCCAAAAGTATATTACAAAAAATGGACTAAAGAGTTAATGTAGAAATATACATAGTCAAATAAAAAGAACACTATAAAACATAATTAAGATGATAAACAACGTCAATACCTAGAATCTATAATTCAAGACCA